TTTTTTCCCTCTCATGGAGGAAAATACTGAAAGGCTAGTTGTGTGGAGCTCATTCCTGCAGTCTCATCTTGGAACATATTCAAGGAGCTTCGGAATCAAGTATGGTGAGGAGAACAGCAATGTTCCCAGAGGAGGGTTCATTTTAGGTGACAGGAGACATGGTTGTAGGATCAGTGCTAGTTATTTTCCAGCAGTCTGGCCAAAACCAATAGTGGTATTGTGCTATCCCTCATCTTCTACCAATAGTGTCAAGTGTACCCACTCTGAAACAGACATATGAAGCAGGGCCAAAGTTCATTTCTCTTGCTGTTAGGTTATAGTAAACAAATTGGAAGGAGTTCAGGGAATGGAAACAAAATTGAGTATGACTTGAAGGATGGAGCCATAGCAGAGAATCCAGGCCAGGATCCCACAAGCACTTCTGGGAAGCTAACGTGTATCTGCTAAGAACACAGGTCAAAGAGACCTACGGGAACAGGAGCCTGGTGGGCAAGTGTGTGTGTGTGTGTGTGTACGCCCTCACAGGTGTATGTGACAAAGCTAAGGGTGAACTCGTACAAATACTTGCAAGGTTCTGTAATCAGACAAAGAAAAAGTGCTTCTTTTTTGTTTGGTTGATTGGTTGAAGTGACATAATGATGAAATGAAGAAAAACTAGCTGGAACATCAGGCAAGATATTGATTTGTCTGTGAATTGGAATCATGCAGAGAGTGAAATTCTATTAGGAATACTCAACTGCCAGGTGACCAAGTGGTTTTGGTAGACGTATCATTAGAAAAGTTATGCCAAAAACATCATTTTGCTTATTTTAGCATGTGTCAACTTCAACACGAGGCTTTCATCTGGAATTGTCTGGGCTGTGAATGGCAGAGTCAAATTAGGGAACCTGAAGTATTTACGTGCAGTTTAGTGGCTCTGTGCCTCGTCCAGAAGCCTGTCTGACAAAAACTTGTTGAAAGTTATGGTCTGCATTACTTTCTGGGCAGGAAAAAATGCTGAGGTATTTGAGAAATTATGCTAAGTTATATGAGAAATTCATAAAATGCCATTATCAGAGGTTGTCAATTTCCTTGTTGGAATCACTGTGGTGCCCATGAGACTGGCTGTGGTGGTGGGTTGACATCTTCTGTGGGTACTGTAAGTGTGAAGGCTGCTCTTGGGCAGAGGGGTCACATCAGTTGGGTTGCAAGAGACAAAGTGAATGGTAGAATCCTGCTTGTTGATGTGCTTAGGTATTACAAAGAAAGCTTCTCAGATTAGATTCTGGGATTTTAAATATGTTTGTTCCCAGTGCAAAGCTTTTGTCTCCAGAGCTCCTCTCTGCAGTGAAGCAGAACTGAAAGGCTGCCGACTTGCAGTCCTTCTTTCTTCACAGAAAGGTGTGAAACAGACTTCTTCTGTTCTCTCTCCATCTCCCATTGCTATGTTACTGAATAGCCATCCTGAATGCTATGCGGTGGGGTGGGAGCTTAAACCTTGTCCACCATTTTACTGGAATTCAGTATTTTTGCACCTTTTCTTCCTGTCTTGTGACAGAGGCAAACAAATTCCCAGGTCTGTAGTACCTGTAGCTTATTAGTTCAAATTGCTGCTGTGTTGTTGGGAATGATTACTAGCCTTGGGAGCAGGCTGTTGGAGAAGTTTGAGAATGCCTTACCCTCCTCGCAGGAGTGGGCACAGTGTGGTTTCTGTTACAATCTTTCCAGGAACCTGCTTCCGTAACAACGAACCTAAACTGGTGGATTTCACATCCTTCATTGCAAATTTGTAGTTTGTTCCCTGCATCCAGAAGTCTGCATCAATCAAGAGAATTAATCTGCAGTAGGTTAAGAAAACAATTGAAATGTACTGAGCAGAGACAAATGAGGCTCCAAGGCAACGAGAGAAAGTGAGTAGACTTGTCTATATTTGAGATAATGACCTTGTTAAAATAGGATGTCTCCTCTAGCACTTAGGAAGTGTTATATTGGAAGGCTTTTCTCCCTGTTCTTCACAGACCCTGTAGAGCGAGAACCCAGATGGGTCTTAGCCAAGACATGAGTTTCAGGACTTCCATTTGCAGCCACAGATGTTTGCAGGATACATCCTGCTTCGGCAGCTGCCCAGGCAGTTTCACAGAGAGATCAGGTGTGAAAATGCATGATGCAGTGGGCAAAAATCTGGAAAAAAGAAATCAACCTGGTTTTGAAGGTCAGACTACTCAGCTTTGGAAGGTTTGGTACCTTTTCTCACATCTGGGAGGCTTAGCAGGGTTAGAGAAGAATGGGCCCCATGGAATGAAGTGTGAAAGGGAGCTGCCAAATTTTGTTCTTGTATTCCTCCCAGCCCCTTTCATGCTCTAACTGCTCCGCCATTCCTCAGTCCCCTCCGTCTCTCCCCATTTGCTCAATTGCTGAATTGTGAGGTGGCACTGGAACTTTTCACAGGTAGCTTTCAATGCCTTTTTAAGGATTTTAACTGCTCACTTTCTGCTGTTCTTAATGGAGCCAGGCAAGTAAGTCCTGAACTTGAAAAGGTCAAGGGAAGCTAAATTCCGGGTTTGTGGTGTTCCAGGATCATCCCTCTGCACAGTAGGAGCAACTGTGACTGTGTTTACTACATGAGCTGTCTACCGAACATTTCCGTAAGCACCTTTGTTACTGATGTATTTGCACAGCCATCATTCGCTGTGCCACTGAAAGCAGCACGTGTTGGGTCAGCATTGGTGCAACAAGAGATTATCTGGATAATCGTGTGTCATGCAGACACGGACTTAGCAACTATTTTGGGGGCAATTTTTGATCTCAACTTCTGAAAACTGGGAGAATATTTATTTGCTTTCAGCTTGGTTTTCTGACTAAAAGGAGTCTCAGCCAAAACCAAAGTTAACTGGAGAGAGAGACCTCAGCTACTGGATGAATGGCAGAGAGACTTTCTTGGTCTAAGCAGGTAGGGAAGCTTCCTAGAGGAAGAATCTTACAGGTTTGACCCATACCTCTGTAGAATTGGAACAATAATAACCTCTTTTGTCTGGCTGGCTGTTCTGTGTTTAATGCCCCCAAAAGCAGGATGCACTGCGAGCTCGTATTGAGCCTGCTGTCAACCAGCAGAATCGAGTAACTTGATTGCAGTAGCACCTGAATAGGTCTACAAGGATTTTGTGTGGAAGGATCGAGTAAGAGGTTGATTCACTGAGGACTTTATATCTTCAAATATTTTAATTTGGTAAGTATTTTTAAAATAACATTTTAATCCAGAATTTTATGGTAGTTTTCTATGGAATATCTCTCAGAGTTGTTGAAAAAAAAATTAGTTTGTTTCAGCTACCGCTTTTAGCTGCCTGAGACTTCTGTTACATTGTGATGTATGCCTTGTTTTGCGATCCTTATTAGACTATTAGACTATATTGAAAGAGCTGATAGATGTCCTTTTCAGAGTCTGGTCTCAACATCTTAATTGCAGTATAATTAAATTACATCTGTACGTGATGTACTTATCAACATAAGGTGATCCAGGCAGTCTGCAAAGTGCTACTAAATGTAGGATTTTCCCTGTGCTTGACAGCATGAATCACTTCATATTTGTGTGTGATTTATCAGTGGTCAGTTCTGTTTTGACAGTTCAGGTCTTGCAACTGACGCTGTAGGACCTTCTCATCACTGAAAGCTATAGGCTGGTTTCCTCTGGGATTTCAAATACTTGGGTACTTCCAGTGATGTCTGTCTTTGTCATTATTGCTGTCAGTTCTGGGGTGAAAAACAAGCACTAGATTCTTCTTCTATCTTACTTGATGGTATGGTTTTGTGTATACAGTTCGCTCTGCTCATGGACATCATGGCACATCACAGAATGAAGGTGTTGGATCCTCTCAAAGATGGAAGCAATTAGAGGTGGAGGAGGATGCTGAAGCATTTTAAGTGCTAGCTGGTTAGCAGTATTTCTGGGCCATAACTAAGATTTTTTCAGATGTGTTACCAGTGGAGTACATTGTATGTTCGTTGCCAACCCTAAGTTATAAGGAGGACTTATAAGAAGAAGGGTAAGGAAGGAGTTGGTAGTGTTTTTTTTTGTTTTTGTTTTTAATCAATTGTGCACGTTTCTTAGAAGAAATGTTGCAGCTTCTGTGTTTCTCATAACTGTTTTCAATACAAACAAGATAGTTTTAATAACATGTCAAAGTAATGTTCCTGAACAGTCCAGGTCAAAAGTTTCTCGGATTTAAACAGGAAGTTTTCTTTTTAATACTCATCTGATCACCGCTCAGCAGCAAGCTACTGGTAATGCACTTCCATTCACAGAAGTTGTTTCCCAGTCTCCTGGGAGGGAGTTGAGGGACGTAGAGCTGAGCATCCAACCAAGCAGGAGGGCAGGTCTTTACATCTCTGCTGTTATCACTGCATCACCCCGTGGAACAATTGGGCATAATTTAGCTACCTTTTCCTTATGAAGTGCTGAAGTGTCTTTAGATGCATGGATCTACTTTCTCTTTTCCAGAGGTTATTTTGCCAGTCCTCAACCTGTGCCCTCTGTTTTGCTGAGTTCTGGAATCTAAACCAAGCACCTTATGCCCTGGGTCCAGGCTTGCTGATTAGCTTTAGAAGGTGAAAAAGCTTCCAGCTGAGGGGAAGTCTTAACAGTCTTAATAACACTTTGGACCATTCCCTGGAGCTGAAAGCTAGCTGGGGAGTGACTGCCTCAGAGGATCAGTACTGAAATGCACCAAACTTGTCACCTTTAGATTACTGTCATAATAAGAGAGAAATCACCCAGCCTGGGTCAGGAATGACGCTATGCTGTTGTATGAGGCCTGGGTCTGTCTGCTGCTTTGACCTATGGCCGGAGCCAATGCTTTAATGGCCAGTTATTTGCAGTTTAATTCTGTTTTTCTGATCCGTGCAGATGCTGCCTAATGCACAGTTTCTCTCCCTCTTTAGTATTTATGCAGCTGTGATGAACAGTGTCCTTAGTGCCAAGTTAATGAATCGATGTTAATGAGTGCTCATTGTCCACAGATGCCCACGCTTGTACAGCAGGTGGAGAGGAGTCACTTAACATCGCGGTGGCCACAGGGGGCACCAGGGAGTTCTGCTTGGCTACAGCTTTCTGTTAGAAACTTCCCAAAGTACTATTTCCTTGCCCTGAACTGACACACCAGCATTCCTGCGTTTCTTTCTGGAAACAACTTTCGCCTCATGTATGCCGTTAAAGCAACGAGCATCTAACTCACACCCAGCAAAAGCCACTGTTTTGCTCTGGGTTCCCTTTGGCTGTGCAGCTGCTCCTTGCCCCAAGGTAACCTTGTTTCTAACCATGTCTGATAATCTTGGTGGGGAACTGCTACAAGGGGTGCCTGCGTGAGTTCAACATTACTTTTCGTGGGTTTGGAAATGGGACTGCATGGCAGGTATTGCCAAGGAAGGTGAGAAGTCTGCACCCAAAGCTGTTTCTAAAGGATTAGAGAAAGTGCCCCAACTTGACATGGGCATGTGGGAATGAGAGTTTAGGTGTAGTGACAGGACAATTTTAAACTAAAAGAACATAGATTTAGATAAGTTATAAGGAAGAAATTCTTTACTCAGAAGGTGTGAGGCACTGGCACAGGCTGCCCAGGGAAGCTGTGGATGCCCCATCCCTGGAGGTGTTTTTCTGTCCTAACATCTGTCCTGAGCTGGGCTTGAAGTGTGAACAGTCATGATCCAGCCCCACTGCCTTACAAGGAGAGAACCCTTCACTGGACCAAATGAGTAGGTTTAAAAAAAAAATAATAAAAAAGTTGCGAAGCTTTTGCTCTCCTTACTGAGCTGCATTAGCAGTTATCTGAATACTTCTGCAGTTTTTGCCTCATCTTCTGTGATCTTTGCAAACCAGCTTAGAGGAGACTTCACAGAGGCAGTTAAGGAGTGCCTTGTAAATGGAAGTGTGTAGTCAAGGCTGCCTCAGTCTGTTCACTTTTCATTTCCTTTGCTTTTGGGGGAAGAGAATGGAGCTAAGCAGTAGCAGTGATGGAAGTGAGCGCTTCTAAATGAAAAGCAGTTATATTGAAGACCAGTGTTTAAAGGTAGAAGGACAGTGGGACTTGACTACCTCTTAAATCCCACAGGTTTTTTAGGTCTTTCAGAGTTTATTGATTGCCAAGAAGCAGCCTCCAAGCTGAGTAGGTTTTTTTCCTCTTTCATTTTCAGGCTGTTATTTATTATTGCTGTAACAAAGACTGTGAGAACAGCTGATGCACACATCACGCCATTAGAGCGAAGCCAGAAGGGGTCTGTATTACTCTGTTCTTCTACACATTAATGTACCACAGAGACTGTTTAAAGCTGGGCATATCCATGTCTGTGTTTTCTCATTTAATGTTTAGTGAGGTTACTAATTATGAAGTCACAGTGGTTTTTCAGTGTCAGGTAGGTAATGTATTATTGGTGCTCTTCAGCTAGTGGTTAGAGCAGAAGTTCTCTGCTGAGCCATCATGAGGACAGCACAGACCAAGGGCTTGACTATGTGTACTATGGAAGAGGTGCACTATGGAAGAGATGCACCAGAGGCAAGACTGGTGCAGTGGCACTTATACCCTGAAGATGGAAGTGGCAATGTGATTGTTTCTGGTCTATCTTACTGTGAACTCAACTCAGAACCAGTGTTGTTTTGATTCTCTTTATAAGAAGCTGAGGCTCTGCTATCTCAATGCTGGAGTGCCTTATGAAAATCTTTTCATATGAAAAGGCTGAGAGATACTCTCAGTAAAGAGTGAGCAAGGCCTCTGGGACAGATCCCCCTCTGTGTTGGATCATTATTCCTGTGAGACAAATTGCAGTTTCTGCCCATCGTCTCCATCAAACTGGTTGGGGGTTGGAGCCGGAGAGCCTGGAGGAGCTGCATTACTTCAGTCCTGGGAAGGCGATGAGGAGGTTGTGTTACTATCTAATGACAGGGAGAGTGCAGAAAGGACAGAGGCAGCCTCCTCCTGGAGGTGATCAGTGGCAGGATGAGGTGCATCAGAGGTGAATTGCTACAATGGGAATTCTCATTAGGTATTAAGAAAAAAAAAAAAGATCCTAAGGGTGGTGAAACATTGGAACAAATTTGCCCGAGAGCACACTCAGCTGAGTAACCTTCTAGGATTTGGCACTGAGTGGGAGGTTGTGCCAGAGGAGCTCTAGATTCCTCCCAAACTATTTTTTTTCTATTTTTTTAGTGTGCTTTACAAACCAACTCCACGTTGATGGTTGGTGCCTTTTTGCCTTTTGGAGAACTGGAGCCAGCATGAAAAGTCCAGTTGAGGAAAAACTGTTATCTTTACCAAAGCCTGCTTGTGCCTTATGAACAGTCCTGAGGAAACAGCTATTGCAGAGCAGGAGACATGCTGCGTGAGCCAGCCCCAACTGTTCATCGTGTAAGTATTTTAGTGGCAATGCAGTGATTGGTGATATAAATCAAAGAACTCCTTGAAACACAGGAAATAAGTCACACAATACTTTTAGCCCATACCAGCGAGAGACAATGCCCCACAGAGTTAAACACATCCACGTAGTTAAACACAGCTCTGTAGCAGCCCCCACAGCATTAAATACAACACTGTGCTGCCTGTATCTTAATTGCATTTCACATTGCAAGTTCAGAAGGGGGGTGGTTTCTCTGACATTTGCAGATATGCAGTAAAATATGTCAAGACCGTCATGGAAACCATACAAAAAGGAAATTGCAGCATGGAAACTAAGTCTCTCTTTCTGTCTCTCTGTCTCTCTCTCTCTCTCTCTCTCTCTCACATCCTTTCTGCATATATTGAAATGAACTTTGAGTTAGTTGGGCTGCTTATAACAGGCAATGCAGAGTGACGTGGGTTACTTAACCTCTCTTTTTCCATAGTGTTCCTTGAGTCAGGGTACAGGTTTGTTGTCTTTGGGTTCCTGTTTACAAATTAGTTTCGTATGGCTATTTCCTTTGCTTCTGCAGACAAGGTAACACAGACATGGTCCATCTGAACAGTTCCTCAGTAGCAGATGATAGCTGTGCTCATGGGGATAGAGGAAGCTGGGCTGGGTCTGAGTCAGAAAGCAGCAAGAGGAGTTAAGGTGATGTTACCAAACCTGACAGAAAAATGTGGAAACAAAACAAGCAGGAAAACAAAATAAAACAACAAAACTGCTAACATCAAACCACAGCCTGACTCATGGAAAACAAAGGGCTGTATTAATTGTGGACATCTTGTCTGCTGGGATTTCATTTTGGACATGTGGGTATGGGTGGTATGATGGATTTTTGAGGCAGAAACCATAATTTTAATGCTGTTTCTATTGCTAATTCCCAATTTAAATCACCCACCACTAAGCGCTGCCAGCTGCAGACGTCTGTTCACTTGCAGTCTGTTAACAAAATGATATAATGTCCCAGACCTGAAATAAAATATCCATCGGAGCTTGTCAGCTTGGGTTAAACAGCTAAGGCTGGATACTTCTGAAGGCTCCCCGCAGTTGTGCAGCAGCTGGGACAGGACCCAAGGTCCTCAGCTTTTAAATTAGCTGTGTTGCGAGGGAGGTGGAGGAATTGCCCTGTCACTGTATGCCTGGCAGGCTCTGCTTGGCACTGCCTGCCTCTCATTGCTCTGAGGACTGACAGCAGGGTCAAAGCAGCCAAAAGGAGAGTTCCCTGGGTGGTTGTTCTTGTTTGCAAGAAAGCACAGGCTAGCCATAATAAGTCTTTTCTTAAATGCTGCCCCTCCGATTTTTTCAAGATGTTTATTTACTTATGTTGGCTTACAATGCATAAGAAGCAGTATTGTCTTCCAGAGAGAGATGGCTGCTAGATGAGAATAATCTGTATTTACCACTTGCTTTAGATTTGTCCTTTGTTTACTGGCAGTGTTGGGATATATTACTTGGCAATAATTTGGTGCTTTGAAGGTAGAATGAGATGAATCCAGTGTGGGTAGGAGTTGTTTTAAAGACTTGTGTTCTGCTACTCTACTATAACTTTCATTATTAAAGGTATTCCCTTCCATGTGGTGTATCTATCTTTGAAAAACAGGCAATACTAGTGGCATCTGTGTTGTGTTGGGATGCTCTGAGCAGACCCTGGCTGTTAAGTCCCTGAAAACACCCTTACTTCTGATTTGAACTGAAGTTAATATTAAGTGGAATTGATGAGAATTTTTCACTCTTCCATATTTATTTAATTTTTCGTGGAGAAATGGGATGGGTGACTCACCTCACTGTAGTAGCATTTACTTCATGTGCTCCCTAAGCATTTTTTGTCCAAATACGTGGTGATATATTTGTATTTTAGACTTTATCAAACTATATTTTTTTTTATCAAAATTCTCAGCACTCAGTCACACGCTCATGCTTCTCAGTATTGTTTTTTCATCCCTTTTTATAATACCACCTAATGTTGTCTGACAATAGCATTTATCTTTAAGCATCCTGCTTTTGTCCCATCATTGTACCAATAGGTTCAACCCATGTTTATGTTCCTTCTGCTAATATTAATGACAGGTTTCAGTTTGTGGAACTGCTGTGGGTGCTGGAAGAAATGAGTGTGAAAAATGGCAAAATTGATAGTCCTGGCTACATGTGCTGAGATGAGCTCAAATTGCTTCTGTAGCTCTCAGGCTTAGGACTGAATAAAAAAGAAAAGAAGGAAAAAGGCTTGTGCATGTGTGTAGGTAGGTGTGAGGGTGGGCAGGGATTTGTAGACACCTGGAGATAACAAACATGTCTGCAGACTGAACGTGGTCAGACTTTGTTTCTAGATATACGTAGTTTGGGCTTTGCCTTGGGGAGTTACGGAACACAGAATTTTTGTTACTTGAGAGGATTTATTTTTATGTTAATTTTATCACTTACCATAAGAATAACATAGCTAGAGACAGCATATGTGATACAGCCTACCTGTGAATGAATAACTAACTAGCAGAAGTATGTGGGTTGTGCTCTTACAAAGCTCGTTTGAATTTAATATCAGGAAAGGAGCAAATTCTCAACAGTTTTGGCACTATAGCTGTCTGTGTCCTTGTCAGCAGAATTCCCTTGTCTTGCTTTGGCCATTCCTCTGTTGTGTCTCTGCAAACATGCCTCTACAGGGGACAAGAGAAATCTTGTGTTTACATGAAAGATTTTGTTTTACATTTGCATTGGCCTGTCTGTATGGAATTCTTCCCTCCCTCTGCTCTGGGAGGAAAGAATTCCATTCTCCTTTTCCTTTCCTTATAGTTGTCTCTTCTGAAAAGCATTTTGCAATGCTATATAGAAGAATGCTACATAAATTTAAATGCTATTGTATTGTCTCTGTCTATTGTTTGTCTTGCATCTCAAGCCAGGTTATATTCTCGCTAGGAACAAGGCAATTACATGAGAATCTAGTGCTGACTGTTCAGTGTTATTTTTTATTACAGGCAAAATAAAAGGCTCAACCTTCTGCCAAATGCCCTTTTCTTTCTTTACCACACCCTTCTTACCTTCTTCTGTTTGAATAAGATTAGTGAAGTATAGAGAATGTTTAATTAAGTTTAATTGCATGACAGCTTAAAAGTGGGAAGGTAATTACTCATTTAATTATTGTGCTGCTTCGTGCTTAAAGCGTGTATATAATTGCTCTTTTTATAAGGACACTCAACTTTGCAAGCTTGCATGAATTTATAACAGCCTCATACCTTTTGCTATTGTTTAAAGTAAAACTAAGCAAGTGCCATCTATAAAACAAGAGAAGTGCGTTTTGTCAGCTCAGCCATTCTCTCCCTTCTCTGCTCAGTTTTGATGGTGTCATCATCCCTTCATCACATTGCTGTACTGGGAAGGACTTTAACATTAATCATATTTAAACATGTAATCCACTATCTCTCATATATTTTTTATTAACAGTTGTAGAACACATTGAGAACTTGGGATTGCAGACATGCGAGTGTAAACTATTATTTCCTACAATGTCTGCATTAATTATTTCTTTGGTGGCAACCTAATAGATCACTGAATTTGATTGCTTGAAACAGTCAAAGGTTAAGTGACTCTCAGTTAGTAGTGCTGGCAGAATAAGAGTTTTCTAGGGCACATAAGGGCTCTCAGGGGTTTCTAAACAAGTGCCTTTCTTTGCAATAGTCTGTTTCTCTTCTCCCTTTACTAGCACTAGCAGTAAGGCTGAGTTCTAACAATCTAGTAACTCCCAGGGCAGCTAACCGAACGATGTTTTTCCTATAAGTGTCACCAGAGCGGAGAGAAGAAGAGCAGTGGAGGAGAACCAGCTAGTCAAACACAGTGATATTTGTAATTGCAAGGGGATTCAAAGTCTGAGGTAGTTGCAGGCTCTATACGTTTTTTTTTGTTTAAATAGCAAACATTACAAGAAAATCCATTGCATGAAGTCCCTCTGTAGTCATCAGGCAAGCAAATGAATTTCTTCAACACTATCCAGGTTGCTATCAAGTCAATTTAGGTATTGATGAGCTCTCTTACCTTTCCCAAGTGAGAGGAGTAGGCGTGCATGTGGAGGGGATTTATTTTGGCAAGTTAGCACTTTTTTTTGGTGACCCTGATGTGACACACCTATGTAAAGTCAAGGCCAGTTGTGTGTGACCTCCCTGCCAGAAAGGTAAAGGACTCAAGCTGTATAAGTCCAGAAGACTGCACGTCTGCATTTGGGCTTCCTTGCAGTCTGCAGTTATCCTGGAGCCTGTGTGTCTCCAGACACTTTTCCTCCTTGTGTGGGTAAGGAGATCCTGAGTAAATGAGGCCTACCTTCCTGGGGTTGCCCAGCTCCCTGTGTGGGATTTCTTTCCTGTACAGGGGTGATTATTCCTTGTCACTGTGAGCTGCTTTCAGCCTTCCCTGGCTCTTGGTGTCTGTATCCATGTTTCCTTCCCACATTCCCTCAGCCTTGGGTGTACTCCCAGAACTTCTTGACCATTTCAGCCTTCCTCCTGTGATTCAGGCCTTTCTTTCTAAGCCACTCCTTGAAAGAGGTGATTTGGCTCTTCAGTAACTCTGTAGGAACTGCTGCCATTCAGACCATATACTTCCCTTTGTGGGTTCTGTGGCTGTTAAGGAAACTTTTTTTTCGTTATGATGAGGTTTAGTGATATGACACTAAGCATATTTATGGCCAGTGCACTGGAATAAGACAACTTTAGTTTAAATGTGTGACTTTTTTTTTCCCTAGTCTTTTTAATACCGTCAGTGGGTAAAAACACATGCTGCTTCCACAGAGAAAACAAGAGAGCTGAACTTCATGTTTTGATAGTTCAGCCTTTGTTGGTTACTTGAAAGACCCGTGGCTACCTATGAGAAGTAATTCTTACAGATGAGTTGCCTAGGGAGGGTGGAAAGGCGGAGTATGGAGGGTGATGATCTTAGAAAGTTTCTTTGCATGGTCTGGAAAAGATGCTAAGAAACTGGTGTTAAAAAT